TATTTCACAGTGTTAAAGAATACACAGTTTAGCAGAATTGGCAGCAACCGAACAAATTTACTTTCAACCAAAAGACAAAACAAGACAAATACTATTTCACAGTGTTAAAGAATACACAGTTTAGCAGAATTGGCAGCAACCGAACAAATTTACTTTCAACCAAAAGACAAAACAAAGACAAATACTATTTCACAGTGTTAAAGAATACACAGTTTAGCAGAATTGGCAGCAACCGAACAAATTTACTTTCAACCAAAAGACAAAACAAAGACAAATACTATTTCACAGTGTTAAAGAATACACAGTTTAGCAGAATTGGCAGCAACCGAACAAATTTACTTTCAACCAAAAGACAAAACAAAGACAAATACTATTTCACAGTGTTAAAGAATACACAGTTTAGCAGAATTGGCAGCAACCGAATAAATTTACTAAGCAATCTAAGTGAAATGGCTAATCTAAGTGAAATTACGAGTAAATTTATCATTAAGTTAAATATGGAAAATCTTAAACTTACCTCGTTGCGTAGAGTATGAACCTCATTCTGCAACGATACTATCATCTCACGTAGAGCGGCAACCTCACCACGTAAAGTTGACACCTCCACACGCCATGCACCATCGTTATCGCGTAGAGTACCGATCTCCTCACGCAAGGCATTGACCTCATCACGTAACTCCCTTGACTCATCCCGTGGAGGTGGAGGTGGAGAACAGGGAGATAGGAGTCGTGGCATCTTTGCCGGTCGCCTATCATGAGGTGATGGTGGAGAAGAGGCTCGATGATGTGACGGGATAGGTGATGGCTCTCGTTCTAGAGGTGTATAGTCGGGTCGATCGGGTGATGGCTCTAGGTGAGGTGATGGCTCTCGAATTGGAGGAAGTGGATGCTGCTCATCATCCGTGCCATCAAAAAAACTCTGACTAGCTTGCCACCAATCAGTGGCAAGCTCTTCCTCCGTGGGTGTCAGTCTTTGTAATGGAATGTTGGCCTCCTAAAATATAAAACTCAAACAAAGTTAAACGTCTACTATTAATAACTTGTTTATATATTATGAAAGATTTGTGTTAACTTACATTATTTATTGTCGCATATGGTATTAAGTCTTCCCAATCCAACAGAGTTTTCCTCTTCCAGGAAATAGCCCTGGGAATATCATTTGACGTTTTATTGCATATGTACGCATGCTGGGGAAAGCCTCGAATATCCAAATCTACAAACAATATAATAACAAAATTAGTAATTGTTAAATAATTAATTATAATTTTAGAAACATTATATAGAAATTCTTACCTTAAAGGCCCAAACAAAGCCTGACAAAGTGTATTTCGACCCATCGCTACGCAAACTTTTGCGGTCATCAAAGGCAGTAGACAACTTAGTCCAGGTAGCTTTCCATATATACGAACCCACGGAAACAGATTCCATGCATTCAGGTCCTCTACCAATATTATTAGCTCCCGAGGAATAGGTTGTCTGGCCTCTCTGCCTAAAAAGCCGCATACACAAGTAGTAGAAGGCATACTCGGACAACATCGACGTCATCCATCCGAGTGAAACCAGCTTTCTTATTAAACAATTTCTTCAGGTCGTCGACGTGTAGGTTCGGCTTCTCCATTGACTCATCCGGAAAAACCCGGGATAACCATGATGGGCGGGCGATATGACGAGTGTACCGGCCTACATCATCGTGTCCGAATCGTAGACCAGTGATTAAGCAGAACTCCTTCCGCCCAAAACAAGTATACGCTGGTGGAAAATGAAACCATATCTCTTCCTCACCACGTGTATACTGTCGGGTAGATTTGATGTCATGGTCTGAAGCCACAAATGGGTCAAATTAGCATCTCCACCCGGATGCTGTACTCTCAGCCATGGCCCGAAGCAGGTTTCCAAACAATTGTCTTTGAGCAGGTGAAAGCTTCGAAGCAATTGTAGTGGCTAGGCTAACTTTATTCCTTAATGTCAATGAAGCCGAAAAAAATTTCTACAAAAACAATAAACATACCAAGTTAGATATACCAAAAACTACACTGTGAAGATATACCAAAAACAATAAACATAAAAAGTAGTAGTTTATTCTTGAAACTAAAATTTGCAACACTGTTTTGTCTTTTGGTTGAAATGAAAATCGCAACGAGAGAATAGCTGTCGCAACGAGAGAAATTAAAATCGCAACGAGAGAATCGCAACGCGAAATGAAAATCGCAACGAGAGAATCGCAACGCGAAATGAAATCGCAATGCGATTTTGGTTTCGCGTTGCGATTCTCTCGTTGCGATTTTCATTTCGCGTTGCGATTTTCATTTCTCTCGTTGCGACAGTCATTCTCTCGTTGCGATTTTTATTTATCTCGTTGCGACTCTTCTGCAAATTGAAACTTGAATGGATTGCATTACTTCAACCAAAAGACAGAACAAAGACAAAGACAAATACTAACTTGAAAATCGCAACGAGAGAATAGCAACGCGAAATGAAAATCGCAACGACAGAATCGTAACGCGAAATGAAATCTAAGTGAAATGGTTAATCTATTATTGAAATGACCAGTAAACTTATCATCAGTTTCAATATGAAAAACCTACAATAATGCAAACATTTCAAAATAAAAATAATTAAAAAAACTAACCCTCGGAGGTTGATTTTCCATTTCTGAATATTGTGAGGGATTTCTGACCGTGAATGGTTGTGAGGGATTTCGCCGGAGATGGGGACGAAAATCTTCGGAGATGGGGACGGATTTCTTCGCCGTAGAGAGTGAGAGATGGAGATGGGACTGAGTTGTGATTTTAGGTTTTAGGTTATGAGTTGCGATTACGGGATTTTGTCTTAATATTCGTTTTTGTAATTTGAAAATAAAATACGCGTAGCGATTATAATGGCGCTTTAAATATCGCGTTGCGATTTATGGATACGCGTTGCGATTTTATGTATTATCGTTGCGATTTACGGATACGCGTTGCGATATACGGATACGCGTTGCGATTTACCCATACGCGTTGCGATTTACGGATACACGTTGCGATTTACGGATACGCGTTGCGATTTATGTGTTCGCGTTGCGATTTTCATATTCGCGTTGCGATTTTGGAAAATCGCAATGCGAATTTGTACTATCGCATTGCGATTTTCAAGAATCGTGTTGCGATTTTGGAAACTGATTTGCGATTCTGGGGATCGCGTTGCGATTTTGTTGGTCATTTTGGCAAATCCAAAAAAAAGTTGGTTAAAATCGTATATTATAAGGCATTTTTGGTCACTGAGGCGATTTTCTCAATAAATAAACATAAGGTATGTGAAATCTCAGTGTTAGTAACTTACTATGTTAAATTTGTTATTTATATTTAACAAAAGGTATATGAAATCTCAATTTTAGTACCACTACATCAGGACCCTTTCCACGTTGCACAAAAACCTTTACTTTAAGTTTAGCTATCACTAAAAAGGTTTTCGTATATTAAAGTTTTTGCACGTGATCATTTCTCAAAAAAGTTACTTCCAGTTAAAGTGGTAGAATTATTTTAAGTATTTCAGTTGAAACAGCTATGTACGTTTTCTATTTTTTATTTATTCATGATCTGGTTTGATCGACTCAATCATGATATTGAAGGATGGGACCTTTTCTCGAAATTATAGGCACTTCCTTTACTTTTTTTTTAATTCCATCCCACGTCGTTGGTATACGTATAAAACTCTCCTAAAATATAACTTAAAATCATATCTTTATTATTTAAAGGAATCTGGAATAGGAGTGATTCATTGATTAAACCTTCATGAATCCATTTTTTTATTCTTTTATTTTAGGTAAAACGTTCTTAACATATCAACTATGGTAGGACAGGAGGAGTTCTATTAAACAACCTGTGTTTTTTTTTACAAATGGGAAGTTTCAGATACAATTCATATTTTGGCCACATTACCATATATAACACAAAATTTATCCACTAATTCCTTCTAGTCGAGCCTCTCAGTCTGTCATTTTACCCCGAGAAATAGAAAGAATTACAATATGTATCCTACCTTAAATTCTAAGAATTTGTTGATAGTTAGAATAGAAAAAAGACTCATTATAAGACAATTGTCTCGATTCAATTTATTTCATGCATAACATTAAAATTCAAACTTTGGATCTTATTTTAAAAATATAAAATTTTATTATACTAAATCAACTAATGATTATAACTTTTCACAATATTATTAATAGATTTAAATTGATAATATTCTAAATAGTTATCATCAGTTATGGATTAAGGGTGAGACAACCGCCTTTGAAAATTTAAAATTATCATATATTTTATATTTTTTTATGTATTTTATATTGAAAATATGTTTTTACCCTCTATAATTTTATATATTTAAGTTCACCTCTAAATTTTATAAGTTCAAGTTTACCTTCTAACATAAAATCTTACATCCGTTTCTAGTTATCGTTAATATGATAATGTAAAATTATTTTATTATTAAGTGATAATGTAATTATTTTATTCTTAATAATGTAGTTCCTTAATTATTTATATGTTACCTGAATATAGACCGTAATTAATTGTATACCAAATTAAACACACTAATAACATCATAAACCGTGAATGAATAGATTATGTTCTATCAAATTAAAATAAAATATTAAATATTCTTAGAATTAAACAATTAAAATATAATGTAAAAATATAAAAATATACGATAGAACGAATCAAAAGAGAAGTTAACAATATAAAAGATATTTGAACTTATTTTAAGAAAAAAAAGTATAGAAGAGCTAATCTTTAGCGTCGTATTTTCCTAGGTTTCTGTTGACTTGTTATTTGTTAGAAAAATTAATTGAAAAATAAAAAATAATCTGACATGAAAATAGTTGATTGGATTGTGTAGATATCGATTTTACAAGATATTTCGATATTTCGATATTTCCCATGGAATTGAATCTCAATAATAATAAAAAAAAAACTCCGGTAGTTGTTGTTTATGGTCGACACGGAAACCGAGAAGCCTAAACAAAACTGAACAAGAACGAAAAACACTTTCTCACCCACCAAACAGACAAACATCCAACAAGAAAGGGTTAGGGTTTCCACTTTCTGATTTCTCTTTTCAATTTCCCTCCTATTTTTCCTTTTCCCTCAATCACAATTGCAATGATTACCGGTTTTCGCTTGGGAAACCGATTTTTGGCTATTGGGCTTGGTGTCAGGCGATTGGTTTTCTTTCAAATGAGAAGTTTGATAAAATTAGAAACAAGACAGAGCTTGTCTTTTCTTCTCTAGATGTTTGTATTCGCGGGAAAATGACTTTTTTTCAGCTCGCTTTATATCAGCTTCCACGGTTAGTTTCATTTTCTCACTTCACTCTGTTTCATAAAAAAATCCATTTCAATTAGATTTTCTGGAGAAATTTTTAGTATTTGAATGTTAACTGAATTGTTTATAAGGATTCCTGGAAAATTTATTTCTAAAAGGGAACTTTTTAATTGCATATCTTTCATTAATTTTTTTCAGGAACTTTTCTTTGTGGTTGATTTATCCTGGAGGAATTTATGTAGCTGGTGGGTGGAGTAAAAAAGAGAGGGGAAATATTCATTGGAGGATACAAGATTCAAGAGAGAACTTTTATAAGTTCTTATATGTTCTTTAGATTCTTTTTTGTATTTAATTGTCAGTAAATAATTAGATTGCTTGAGTTTGAATGCATATATTTATAAATGGAGTCAAAAGTTTCTTCACCTTCAATTCCAAGGAATATGGTAAAATGCTGTGAGTGTGGCCATCCTTGGAGTACTTGGTTTCGATCTGTGAAACGAAAATACGATGAGTTTGAGACAACAAACAGGTTTTCTGTTCCGGAGATGGATCTTGACTCCAATGCCAAAGTCCAAGTCGAGAATGAATGTGCTGCTTTACGGGAGACGGTTAACAGCCAACAGGCTACAATACAGGAGTTGAATAGAGATTTGGAGGAAGAGAGAAATGCCTCATCATCGGCTGCTACCGAGGCCATGTCGATGATATTGAAGTTGCAGAGTGAGAAGGCGGAGCTCCAAATGGAGGCACGGCAATTCAAGAGTTATGCCGAGGAGAAAATGGCACATGACCAGGAGGCCATAATGGTATTGGAGGATCTGTTGTTTAAGAGAGAGCAGACTATTCAAGCTCTTACATGTGAAGCTCAGGCTTACAAGCATAGGATGTTGAGTTACGGGCTTACAGAGGAAGAGGTTGAAGGTGAGCCGGACGGGGAGTTTCACAACATGGCTGAGAACTTTGGTGATTCAGAAGATTTTCTTCCATATGATTATCCACCTCCTATGTGCAATTTGAACGAGAATCCTGATGATGATGTTGAAGATATAAAGAAATATTCATTTGTCGAGACCCCCCGAGAATACTTGAGAAATCTGGAACAAAGGATCTGCATAATGGAGAGGAATCTGAGCAGCAGTCATCTGAGTCAAGGGGATGGATGTTACCCTGCAACAAAGAATGTTTCAGAGAAGGTAATAGTTGGTCAATCTCCTAGGCTACCAAGACATTCAAGGAGGCATTCGGGTGATAGTTCAAATTCGGACCTTCCTAAAGAGACCGGTTCAGAATTTATCGGTGATTCTCCCAGGTTCGACAATAGCTTCAAGAAGATGGAGTTCGTTTCAGAAACGGACAAGATTTCCGGCTCGAGAAGAATGGATAATGCTTCAGAAATTGAAGATGATATGAGTGACAGAGTTTATACGATTGATTCAATCCATACTGGGGTGCCATATGAGGGAACCTCCAAGCCTAAACCTGGAGTTGGAGATTGTGACAATTATGGATACACTCAAAGGGATGCATTTGATCTGCCTGATGTTTGTGATCCCGATATCAAGAAGCTCTATGCGAGGCTTCAGGCCCTTGAGGCTGATAGGGAATCAATGAGACAAGCAATAATATCGATGCGAACTGAAAACGCACAGTTGGTATTATTGAAGGAAATAGCTCAACATTTGTGCAAGGAAATGTCACCTGAAAGACCAGTGACTGTGAGGAAGCCATCTATTCTTGAAAGCCTTCCCTTCCAGTCATTCTTCAAGGTAATCTTTGATTGAACAGAAGGTTGCTTTTTGGATATATTTTACACCATCTGGCTCTATTATTGACATTCTCATGTCTGTATATTTTGTGATGCCTTATTCTTGGAACTTTTCAATTTACTTGTGGTTTTTTATTCGGTGCTCTCAAAATTGGCTCTTCTTTTAGTTATAATGTTCAATGACAGTTGAAATAGCTGGAATATACAGTCATAAAGGTGTTTTGCAAGATGAGTTGCTTGTTTCCGAAACTACTATAGGATAGACTATGCAGAAATGAGTTAAATGTTCAATTACTTTGTTACATGAAGAATACCTTTCATATTTTGCTGCATCAAAAGCCTGCCTCTCATCTCTAGTAGCTTACTATCATACGTGTGTTCTATACTCACTATTCTTTAGTTTCATTCCTCTTTTTACTAATATATTTTTTTTGTAATGTATATTTTGTTTTCTTGAATGGAACCCCTCATTTGATTGTTTACTCTTAACATTGTCAGAAGCATCATCAATGGAGCTGTTCTATGTTTCAACATCATAGTTCCACTTGAAATATATCATGTTTTGATTTTTTTTTCTTTTTTATTTCAGTGGATTATATCCTTATTTTTCTGGAAGCGGAATCGTCGAAGCAAGTGAGTAGCATACATGATATGTAAATGGTTACTGTTGGACATAAATACATAATTTTGTATATTCTCAAATAATATGTTTTATTGTATTCATATAGGTACCCGTATGGATTGTCACCAAACAACATAGGTCTGCTAATGCTTCTGGACAAGGGGCCTCGACTGAGGCAGTGGAGATGCATTTTAAGTACACAAGTGTGAAAAAAGATTCATCTCAGCATGACGATGAAACCAATAACCGTAATGGCGATTGAATAAGCATTCATGTATAGGCTCCATTGGAGCAGCTTTTGGCATATTGTTCGACGTTCTTTCATTTTTTACATTTTTTTTAAAGTTTTGTCACCATTGAATGAATACATTTTGCTGCAAACACATGAATCATATGAGTTATGGGATTTCGGTTTAAGCTATTTTTTGTTGCTCTGGTTCCTGTATATCTTAGATTCTTGTATCCTATCTTTATTCTTTTCTATTTCCAGCAATGGCTAGTTCACTAGAGTTATTGCTGAATCTCATTGAAACTCGTATAGATATTTCAAGGATAGAAAATTTCCATGGTTCAACCCCATTCGAAAAAAAAAGTTTTTCTATTTTTTTATTTTAAGTTATTCGATGAGTTGATTTGGTTTTTTATTTAAATTTTGACTTCCATTAATTTTGTATTTTGATGAAAAATAATAATATAATCTATGTTATTTTAGCAACAATAACAATAGTACCTATTCTTTAAAAACAATGCTTAAATTATAAATTTAGGTAATCAATAGTCATCTAAATTTGGTATTAATATTTGATTTAAAATGTCATGTAAATAGATTATGGTTGTTATTTATTTTGATTTGATAGTGTTAAGTTTTTCTGTTTCATAATGGTTAATTTTCAAGAAATAAATAATTATTTATTATAATAATAATTTTAAAGCTTATATATGTATCTATACTTATGTTTTAATTTAAATTAAAAAATCAAGGCTTAATATAAAAATAAGTGTATAAACTATACTCAAAATTAACTTTTGGTACCTAAAGAATTTTACGCTAAAAATAAGTGCCTAAAGTTTTTTTTGTTACACTGTTAAGTGACACGTGTCATGTCCAATTTTTTCTTTAAAAAATATTTTTAAATAATATTTTACTTTTTTTAATATAAACGTGACACGTGTCACTTAACAATTTTTTTTAACGGTAGACACCTAAAAATGTAACGGAGAAAACTTTAGACACCTATTTTTTAAAAAAAAATTCTTTAGTCACTAAAACTTTAATTCTTTATGCACTTATTTTTGTATTAAGGCTAAAATCAAATGATCTTATAGTATCATCTACAACAAGATCAATATAGGATGGATAACAAATTTGTTTGTAATGAATTATTTCTATACACAAGCTAAGAAATGCAAGGAAGTTGGAGACATTCCAAGGACTTGATCATGACCATCAAACAAAGTGTCCCGCTTACTCATCTTCTTCATTGATTCATCATCCTCTATCGGAGGCATCCATGCCGATGCTGATGCCGATGACGGCTTGTTCGTGGAGTCCTTCCCGGTAAGGCGCTGCACGACTTTCATGAACTCATCCGGTCTTACGTGGATAATCTTGGGTGACCTGAGATAGATTACAACGGGTTTAATAGCCTTGGAAATTCGATTCGGATTATCATGTGATGACTTCTTGATCGTCGTCGAAGAGCTGCCGCCTAGTCATAAAGCTGAAGGCCTTGGACCTTGCAGTTTTCTTCCTCTACTGGAGTTGTTTTTGATTTCACGACTTCCACTACCCATTAGAAAAACTACGAAAAGATTTTTGAGACTGAACTGAGATTTTAAGCTTAATTAGTGAGCAACCACGTGTGTGTGTATATATACACATATACGGCAGCAAGTAAGAAAGAGTCGATGTCTGCTTGGCTAGAAGGAAAATGGAAGAGAAATTAGAAAACTGGGTCTGGGTTTTGAATATATCGCCGGCTACGTTTTCAAAGATTTGGAACAGCAAGGGGGAATTAAGACAGATTCATTCAGTCAAGACAAAGTCAATTCACCTCCTTTTTTTATTTATATATATATTTTTGCATCCAATCCTGAATTCCAATAATGCCAAAGCAGCTTCTTTTTAATGTATAAAACAAATGAAAAAACAATATCAAACCAACTATTCTTCGCCATTAACTAACCTTGACCTTGTGGTCTGGAAATTTTAAATTAAGGGCAAATTACGTGTTTGTCACCAAATTATTCTCGTGGTTTCATTTTTAACACTCAATTATTTTTTTTAAATCATACTTACTTTGATTTCGTTTTGATCACACACCATTAAAAGGTTAGTGGTGATGATGACGTGTCAGCATAAGGTACTAAGTTAGTGCAACATTATCATTGAAAAATAAAATAAAAAATTGTCAAGTCAAATAGTTATGTTAATTTTTTAATGGTGAGTGACAAAAACATAACTAAAACATAAGTTTAGATATGATTTAAAAAACTAGTTGGATGATCAAAACAGAATCGTGAGAATAATTGAGTGACTGAATATATAATTTAACCTAAAATTAATTAGTAAGACAATAAAGAGAGCGTTGTACTAATATTGAAACGAGGTGGTAAATATTTTAAACAAAATTAAATTTGAATCTTAACATTATAAAAAGAATAAACATTCTTGAAAAAGTCATTCCTATAATATATATTTTTTACCGTATTCATTTTGGATTAATCAAACAATGAGTCAAATATTGGTGATTATAAAAAATAAATAAATAAAGAAATATTATATCGTATATATTTTTATACCTATACTATATATTGAATGTTTGATTGAATTAGTGTCACCAATCGACCGGAATCTCAACAAAATCGTGAAGTTACAAAAACTCTCTTATTTTATATGATTGTAACTAGTGTCCATCAAAAGACTTATGAGAGTCTTTGAGTCTACATCTAGTTTAAAGGAAAGTAGGCTCTTCGGGATTAATGTGGCCATCCTGACCCTAGCAGATTGTGGTGACTCCGTGGGTTGTTTAGCGGGTTCATTCCCCTTCGAATACTTGGTGTTCCTTTAGGTGCAAGGAGGAATTCTTTGTCGCTATGACATCTGATTATTTGTAATTTTCATCAGAGACCTGCTAGCTGGAAAACAAATGCTCTATCATTGGCAGGGAGATTAGCATCGATCAAAGTTGTACTTTCTAGTCTGTTGATCTTTTATCTGTCCATTTTTCGACTTCCTGCCTCTATCCTCCAGCGTTTCAACTCCTTAATGAATATTGAATCATGTTTTCTGGGGCACTAATCAAGAGAAGAAGAAGATACAGTGGGTGCGATGGTCAGAGGTCTGCTTGCCTTTGAATCATAGGGGCTTAGGGGTGAGTGATCTCACCGTAAAGAATCGAGCTTTATTTGAAAAATGGATCTGGCGCTTTGAGAATGATAATGGGAGCTTGTGAAAATGGATAATTGTATGGAAGAATAAATTCGACTGCTCGGATATCCTACTGTGTAATAAAGCTTGTAGAGCTACTTCTTGAATCAGTCATCTGATTCATTTTTGGCAAATCTAATATTAAAAACGCCATTAATACTGATCTATTCGATGGTAAAACCCTATGAATCAGTCATCTGATGGCTGCATGGAAATCGATTTCTTTTTGGCCATAATAATTAAATGCACGCACATGCAATGGACGTCTTCTAATATATATATATATATATATATATATATATATATATATATATATATATTTCCGAAGGTCCAAACCTAGCTTAAATCACGGTTTCCTTTTGCCCTTCCTGGGATGGCACCAAATGGTAAAATTTATTGTCTAGTCCCCTTAAAAGTTGTATCATTCTAAATTAGTATAAGATTTGATGAATCATTTGCTTTCTAAACTATATTAATTATTCAATTTAAATTATTTTGACACAACTGAACCCTTTGAATATTTTAATTTTATATCGATCTTCCCAACACAATTTCTAGTTTCACCCTTGTACCTAAATTACTAACAACTACATGAAGGCGTGTGGGACAGCCCCTTGTAGAGGTGTAAACGGGCTAGATTAAGCCCAATTCAACAAGGCCAATGTTTAGCCTCATATGTAGTTGTTGAAGCTCGGGCTTCTCTGAATATATGAATTTGTATATATTATTTAATATTTAGTATTTGTGTATATTTTCATTTTGTTAAAATTTTCAACATAAATAATTTATTATATTTTAAAATTTTCATTTTAATATTTTAATATTTAAGTTTCATACCATACAAGTTACATAATATATAAAATAAAATGTTATAAACTTAAAAGTGGTGGATTAAATTTTAAATATTATAGCCCAAGTCTAAATTTATTTTAAGCATGCCTAACTTTTTTAGTCAAATCTATTTTTTAAACTTAATATTTCCTCAAACTCTTTCAAAAGTGTCATATATGATATATGCCCTCAAGCTTGGGTTGGTGCTTTTATACAAGTACTGATGGACAACGAGTGAGATTGCGATTTACAAAGATTCAAAATGTTAAATTATTAAAATAAAATGTAAATACATAATTGAGTGGAGCCTATGAATTACTAAGTGTTAAATTATAATTTGCTTCCAAACGTAAAGTTAAACATGAATAAAGTTAAAAATCCTAGCTTTTGCAATCGGTTAGAAACCGTCGTTTTCACCGTATTTTTTCTTCATTTTTACCTAATAAAACTGATTTTACGATCAAAGCAAACTTTTTTAACTAAAATCACTTTTAGAAAATCACACCAAATGAATTCATTAGACAAACTTGTTTCCCTCATTTAACTCATGTAGTCCAATAATTATATGTTCATACTAAACAAACGAACCATCAATCATCAATTAAATATCTTCATTTCTCACTATTTGAATCACAATGATAACCTTACTCATTATCCATCAATAACACGTTTACACCATATCATAGAAAACTAATATAAAAAATTCATATATAAAAGATGTGAAATAAACCTAAATGTCTACTTTGATAACTGATGCGGAGCTTGCACTGCTCCCCCTGGCAGCGACCGCGGCCTATGGGTATTTTTAAAGTCAATGTTGACGGTGCTAAGAGGGATGCGACAGGTTTTGCGACGTGTGGAAGTGTCATTCGAGATGCCGGGTGGAATTGGATTTGGGGTTTCTCAAAACCCATTTGTAATTTTTTTTATCATTAGTGCAGAACTTTGGGGTTGTTTTGAAGGTATTTCTCTGGCTGGGAAAGAAAAATTATTAGATGAATTTGACTTATCATATCATCCGGTTTTTCAATTAATAATGTTTACCTTTTTTAAGGTGAATTTT